TAAAAGCTGTGAACCTCTTCCCTGCTGGAACAAATTCAAGGTGCTAATTTTAATTAAATTTCTCTTCATTGCATACTGGAGCCTGGGGATAATGTAGACAAATATCCAACTAACAGCATTGGTTATAGCAGGAACTTCCAGAGATAAGCTTCAGTCTGGACAGACTGTCTTCCACTAAATTCTGTGCCACAGTGGGAAGTATGAAAGGCAGAGTGTATTTTGAACCTACTAGTCTTAACAACTTACACCAACACACACACACACACAGCAGGATGCTTCATCAGTATCTGAGGAAGTTAAAAATTATGAGACAAACCTTGGCCGTTATGTTGGCTTATTCCGTCATGGCTTGTATTAGGGACTAGAGTTTGTGTCAATATTAATTCATTGTTGCTTCTCACTTCAAACCTGAGCTTATTGCAAAGTTTTGACTTTAGAACTTAAAGAAGTCTTAGAAATCCAGGCTCCCTCATTTATAAGATCAGGAAACTAAAGCTGTTTTCAGGGTCATTTATCTCCTAAGTATGTGTACAAATGGTGGGATACACAAATGTGAGGTTTTATTTCCATTGATTTGTACACAAAATCTTACAGAAGCAAAAACAATAGGCAATAGTGATAATTAGACCACCAATTTAGAGCTAGGTCTATAGATTTGTAGTTGACCCCTCTGCATTAAAAATGTAAGGGTCAGCCCTGGCTGGTGTTGCTCAGTGGATTGAACCAAAGTGTCGCTAGTTCGATTCCCAGTCAGGGCACATGCCTGGGTTGCAAGCCAAGTTGTTCCCCCAGTAGGGGGCATGTAGGAGGCAACCCACACATTGATATTTCTCTCCCTCCTTTCCTTCCCCTTTCTCTAAAAATAAATAAAATATTTTAAATAAATAGAAATGTGTCATTCTGGTTTTTGTTTTGGAGGTTCTTTTCCTTAACTATCATATTGATTGCTCTAGATGGGAAGTTATTGCTAATTACATGAACATACATTCTTCTTCTGGAGTGAAGAGAACCGCCAAAGATGTTATCAGCAAAGCAAAGAGTCTTCAAAAACTTGGTGAATTACAGTTTTGTTTCTTTGATACCTTGAGTACTTTAAAATAATCTGTACAAGTAATGAAAGACTAAATGAGGTGATCTGTAATATATTTAAATTTTTTCATTCTTCAGACCCACATCAAAAAGATGACATAAACAAAAAGGCTTTTGATAAATTTAAAAAAGAACATGGAGTGGTGCCTCAAGCAGACAATGCAGCACCTTCTGAACGATTTGAAGGTAATTAAATTTTTTCTGTAAGTAGAAAATGCTAGCCATGTATCCACACTGTGTGAAGATATACAAGACCTAAGGTCTGTGTTCAGAATGATTGGGAAATAGTGTTAAGCAGACTGGAAGGTGTAAAGCATGCATTTCAGGCGAGTCATGAATTTAGTTAACACTACTGAGAAGTGCAGTTCTTCCACAGTGTCCTTAGGGGAGGGGTGTATTTGTTTTGTTCACCAGATTTTACAAATCACTGCTGGCAGATATTGGGGCAGTTGAAATTGGATAGATCTGTAGACCTATCCTGACTGAAAAGTACACTGTAACTAAGAAAATGATCGTGTTTTTATGGAAGAACTTAGAAATAAAGGGACAGCATGTCTGCAGCTTACATAAATGTGTATATAGAAAGATTAAGCAAGTATGGTGTTCACATATTTGGAGTCAGGGTAGAACAGGTGGGGATTCTTTATACTCTTCTGAAATTATTTCAAAGTAAAAAGTAAAAAACTGTTAGGGTGCTGAGATTGTCTTGGCTATTCTAGCTAATTTGATTGCTCTGGACCAGTGGGTTTCAAACGGAAAATCATGACCTAGCCTCCCTAAGCCTCCTTCATAAGTGGGTTATGAAATATATTTAATGGGTCATGAACAGAAGGTGTCAGAGCTTATTACACCCATTTTATGAGTATTTTTTTGCGGAACTTTTGTCATGTATGTGTGTTGTGGGATGTGACATTTTTTTCTGTTGAGTTTCTGAGCAAGTTTGAGGAAGTTGTTTCCCTTCATGCATTTGTGAGCCACCAGTCCTTTCTTTCCTAAGCTAATCTTGGGTATGCTTTCCAGGTCACCATTCCAAATATATATTTTGGGATTAGCTAATAGCCTTGACTTTTACATGTTAACCCGGCCCTGTCCTCTAGTCTGTCACACTTTTCCTGTGCTCCTAAGACTGGTTCATTATCCCAAAATTTCAGTTTGAAAATATTGAGACTTACAATGTTCTATAAAGAGGAAAAATACATCCTGCAGTTGCAAAAATCAGCTGTTTTTTGGGCAGTCTGGGTTGGGCATCATTTCGGCTTTTTAAGTTAAGCACCAAAGTGGAAGTTCCGTATAGCTGGAGGGGCAGTTTTTAGTTTTTTTTTCTTCTGCTCCCTTACGCCTTCCACAAAATAGCAGACAACATTCAGGTGTGAGCACACTGTTCTCAGCCCTTTCTTCTCAGGCTTGTTTCCATGTGGGAGGCAGCCAGTCTTCTGTGAGAGGGGTGACCCTGTGAGGGCAGGAATGTGGGCATGACTCCTCTTCACCTCTGATGGGCCTAATGGACAGTCTCCTCTCTAATTGCACCAGTAAGCAGCAAGCTGGCACCGATTTTCCTTCTTTCTTTTTTTTTAATTTTATTTTTGGAGGGAGGGGGAGAGAAACGTCAATGTGTGGTTGCCTCCCACACGCCCCCTACTGGGGACCTGGGCCACAACCCAGGCATGTGCCCTGACCAGGAATTGAACTGGTGACCCTTTGGTTCACAGTCCAGCACTCAATCCCCTGAGCTATACCAGCTAGGAACCACTTTTTTAATAGTGTTTTCTCGGGAATTTTACAGCATTACATGTTCCATTTATTTTGGTGTTGTGAATTGGAGAACAACAGAAAATTGTTACTTACATCTTTTTCCTGAGAGAGGAAATGATTAAGTCTATGGTGTTAAATGTAGGCAGAGGACCAGTAAAAGGAATTCTGCTAATGGCTTCTTATAACTTAAAAGCTGACTTCAAAAAGTTCCTAATCTGCCTTCAAATACAAATTCTCTGTGTTATGAGCTGGTGTGGTAGTATTGTTTAACTTGTCACAGTATGTGTTTGTATGTATGTTTAGTAACTTGTTTCTAGGCTTTACGTTGTAGCATATCTCACAGGAAAAAATTTCAAGTGGTAGTCAGACTGCTGGTAGGATAAGTATTACTGCATTCTCACTGCATGGTGTGAAGTAAGTAAACTGCAAGTATCTATTAACTTAGAATAACCAGTCATCTTTTTTAACCATTTAACATTGTCTTATGAAGAGGTGGGATGTTAACACATCCTTAGGAAGAAATCTTTCTTTTTTCTGGTATGTATATGATGTTGTCTCAAACAGTAAAAGGTTTAGTTTAATAGAGGCACCTGGCACTGGCTCCACAAGTTTTTAGATGTGAATGTGCCACACTGGAACACAAAATCTAAGCTCACTTTCCCTCTACAGCACTGAAACTTGGAGCACTTCGCTCACTTTCAATAGTTGTTTCCTCCAGTGTAAACTGAGAATGGTTTCCAGGATCTCATGTAGCTAAGTTTTGTAACTGTGAGGTAGCTCTTTCCACTAATCCTGTAAGGAACTAGATAAATCTGATTTAACAACAAAAAAAACTTGAGTATGTAAGGTTGTAAGAAACAAGCAATATAAGGCTGCTGTTTCCTATTGAGCTATCTAGATTTTTCTCCCTCTTCTAAACACTCAGGTGTTTATGTGTCTCATCTTTAAAAGTTTAAAATTACACAACAGATTTGAATGGGCACTTACCAAGATACTTGAGCACCAAAAGACTCATTGGAAAGGTGTTCCAAGACATTTTTGTATAATTGGGATTTTCTTTTATTCACTTTTTAATTATGATAAAACATGTATCACATGAAATTTAATATCTTAACCACCTTTAAGCATACAGTTCAATAACATTAAGAATATTCACACTGTTGTGCAAACCGCTCTCCAGAACTCTTTCCGTCTTGGAAAACTAAAGCTCAATGCCCACTAAACAACTCCCTGTTGTCCTCTCCGTGCACCCACCATTCTACTTTCTGTCTCTGTGAACTTGACTATTCTGAGTACCTCATACAAGTGGAATCACACAATGCTCATCTTTTTTGTATTTCACTCAGCATAATGCCCTCAAGGCTCACCCATAGTGTAGCATGTGTCAAAATTTCTTTTTAAGGCTGAATAATATTCCATTGTGTGAATAAAAATTTTTCTTAAAACAGGTCCATGCACAGATTTCACCCCTTGGACAACAGAAGAACAAAAGCTTTTGGAACAAGCCTTGAAAACATACCCAGTAAATACACCTGAAAGATGGGAAAAAATAGCAGAAGCAGTGCCTGGCAGGACAAAGAAGGACTGCATGAAACGATATAAGGTTGTATATTTTTTTGAGCGTATAGACTTTTGCTTATTTCCATACTACAGTAGTCATGGGGCCAAAATTACAAAGAAATGATCTTAGAAACTTTCAGAGCTCTGGCAGTTAGTAAAAGCAACCTTTTCAGTAGTGTCTTTATAGACTTACCCAATTTGAATGTTTTTCATATTTATACCAAACACTAGAAATGTCTGCCAACTCTAAATACCACCTTTGTCCCTTCCTAGGAACTTGTTGAGATGGTAAAAGCAAAGAAAGCTGCTCAAGAGCAAGTACTGAATGCAAGTAGAGCCAAGAAATGACAAGACAATCTTTGTTATGTGTGCATTTTTATAATAAAACTGAAAATACTTTATGGATTTTTATTCTTAAAATTATACTTGTGATGATTTGAGAGTATGCCATTCCAACATAATTTCTTAGAGATCTGCCATGCACTGGGTAGTCTCATCCTTTGAAAATATGACAGTGTCTCATTCAAATTTTCAAGTATGTGTGTTCATTTTAATTTTTTTTCTGTATGGGTTAATAGCTTAAAACTTGCTAGCCTCTGTTAAATTTTATAAATATGTACATTCAAAATACTTTTATTAAGAGCATTTTAATCACGAAGCCAGCACATGTTACTGCGAATCTGGTTAAAATCTGGTAGTTGCTCAATGGGACCTAAGGAGTAAAAAAGAAAAACAGTTAAAACTGACTAAAAGAAAAATACTTAGCCAACTTTCTGTATAGGAGAAAAGTGGCCAAGCTTACCAACAGCAGCAACAGCTGGACTCTTATCATAAATATATTTGGTACATACTTCTCGGATTGTGTCAGCATTCACAGCCTGAAATAGAGAAGATGCTAGCATTCAGAGCTTTTTGCATTCTATACCTGTAATGACACATACTTTTTTAGCTTTGTTAACAAGAATTCTTTTACACAAGACCCAATGGTGTGTAAGAACTACAGTATTTACATCAACTCTTGCTTCAAGCTCAGGGATGGGAATTCTTCTGTTATAGCATAACATTTGCCTGCCGATATCCTCACAGATTGGAGTGGAACCTGTTTAAAGAGAAAGAACAGTTAATCATTGGAATATAGATCAACCTTTTGAAAACAGGCCTTAAATTTTTATTCTTACCATCGAGTTGTAACAACATGTTTGTTTTCAGAAGGTTTTTGGCTCGTGCAACCTCACTTTCAGTGACACTTGTGCAGAGTCGTATCCTAAAAACCAATTGGAAAAATCAAAATGTCAAGTAGTTTGAATATGTATTTTGTGGTGATGAACTAAAGACATACTGCCGTATTCTATGTATTATATCACAGCTTGATTTCAACTTATAAAAAACTTGAAGTTACTAATGATCCCAATATCTAAGCAAAAGCTAACCTATACTGATTATTTTCCTGGTATTGTCAGTTTCTAAAAAATGATATGACTAGCAAACAGAAGTTCAGTACAATATAAAAATAGGCTAACCCCATTTTGAGAAATGCTATAATTTTAAGACTTCACAAATCCCCATCTGCTAAGCTCTGATATGCTAGAGGATAGATAGGTCAGTGGGTAACTGGTTTCTCAAAAGAATCCAGTTGAATTTTACTTAAACCTGATAACAATTACACCTAGATAATAATAATCACAACCTGATAATAATTACAACTAGATTTAGAGAGATGTAATAAAAAGTCATTTAAAAATGGCAGAAGAAAGGAAATGATGGAGGAACATTTTCCAAGAAGCTTGGGTCTTTATACTTGTCTCAAGGTACTAGTTTTGACTACAAAACACTACATTTTTCTTTTAGCAATGGCAACTTCAGATTCAGTTTTTAACATAGACCTTCCAGATTTTCCAAACTTCTAGTTGGTGTTTAAACATTTTAAACTTTTAGGATCTCCTTTCCTAAAGTAATCTTAAAAAAAAATCTTTAAAAATATTCTATAGTATGAAATCAATTTAGCTTCATACGAGACTTATAAGAAACATCTGTGATCTTTAAAAACATGGCTGCTACTAATATTCTTTTGATTAAATGCTAATAAAAACACCAAAAGTGTAAAGAGGAAACTAATCTAAAATGTGAGTTCTGGGCAAGATTTATCTTCTCACCATTCTTTCTGAACAACATGGAGCATGTCTGCAATAGTGGCTGGTTCACAAACCATATAGATTCCCCATAATCCTGTATCTGTGTAGGAAGTGTTGAAAGACTGGAAGCTATGGCAGAGATTGCTGTGACAGGTGAGCTGGGCCAGCTTGCTAGATAAATTCTGTAAGGAAAAAAAAATGTCCAGAAGAACTGTAGGTAAATGTGTCCAAATTACCAGAGAGAAAAATGAAATATGAGGCAAACAGTGAATGCCCTAAGAGGCGGAGTTTCTCAGTTTTACCCATCGACATCCATCTCAATAATAAATTTAAAATAAGACTAAGAATTATACTTATCAGCCCAATGCATCCCCAGATAAATTCATAATGTATAAAGCAATGAATCCCTATAATTAGTAGTTGCACCCACTTCTAAAATATAATACATTGTTGTTACCAACCCAATCAATCTGTAGAGGCCTGTTGGCTATGTATGCTTAAAGATTTGAAATTAAATATATTGCATGTGAAACCTAACATACAAAATGTATTTTGTTGAACTTTTTTGAGTACAATTATACACTTTGTACTACAGAAAAGTTAACAAAAACAGTAAAAATTCCCTTTATCCAAATTACCTAACACTTCTTATATTGCCATGTTTGCTTCATCATTCTTTTAACATATTTTTTTCAACTATTTGAGAGTACATTGCAGATGGGATGCTTTTCACCCCTAAATACATTTTAGTGTGCACTTCTGAAAAACAAAGAAATTAACTTCACAGCAATTACTAAAATTAGGATATTAACATTGATATAGTACTATTAACAAATCCTTCTATCCTTACTCAAATCTGGCCAATTATCCCACTAATGAACTTTATGGCAAAAGAAAAAAATGTTTTTCTGGCCAAGGATGCAATCAGGATCAACTTATATTTTAAAAGTCAAAATTTATAGTACAGAAGTTCTGTCTTGTCAGTTTAAAATTCTAAAATCACTTACCATTCCTCCTCCAAAAGAGCGATCCCAGTTGCCTATCAGTGTGTTTGCAACCATGAGACAGATTGTATCTGGATGTGCCCAACCAACAGCTTCAACAGCTATTGCAAGGTGTGCCAAAGGCATCTTGTCATCTCTCACTCGAATCTAGTTAAGATAAAAAAACGAGTTAAGATTACCACTATATAACATGCTTAACAAGAAAGAAACAAATTCACCAGTCCCGTTAAATGCAAAGTTAAAATGCTCTCCATGACTCTTACTTTGTTTTCTTAAACTATCAGGCCTCATTACATTGTACAGTCTAATCTGAAAGAATTCCATGAGTTTGGGAAAGAAGATTTTCACCAAAGGTCTCCAACTGAAATAATACAGACAATACCCACCAGATGTTTACCTGATAAAAGAAGAATGCATTATTTCAGTGGTAGAAATCAATCATTTGTTTTTTGATCTGATATTTTTTATCTAAATTTAAGCTAATAATAACATAACGGGCTATTTTTGTTCTGCAAGTGCCAACACCAGGCCTCCTTCCAGGCACTACTTTGAGCATCATTCCTAATGTGGCAAACTAAGCCTCTAATGAATCGATAAGCAGCAGATTCTCTGCAAGTTCTGGTTCTGATGAGCAGAAGGAAGAACTTCAAGAATAAACCTAATGTGAAAGTCCATATTTGGATGTTTTTAAAAATAAAAGATTACTTTTATACCTTACATTATATAAATGGGCAAAGTGCTAAAGAAAAGCACCAAAAAACAAATTATATTGCCCATAAAACATTGCTGCCTTAGGAAAAATAGGTGGTTAAATAATATGGAATGTGAAAGAATATAAGCAAGTACGTCCATCCTCTTCCCTGTTTCAGTTTAAGCCTTTGGTTATTTCCTTTTCGCTTGTGTTAGAAACATGCACCTTCTGCATACTCATTCATAAATGCAACACAAGAAACTCAAAGGGCTAACTACTAGCTTAGGAGGCTTCCCCTACCTCACTTCCTGTGAATCTGCAGGGAGGTAGAGCTGGTATTTCTCCTTTGTGTGTGGACAGTGTGTCACCAAAATGAAACTTTGCTAACTCAAGCAGTTCATCATGGGAAACTCCTAAATTAAAGGAAAATATTTCACATATCTAGTAACAGTACAATCCAAAGCAGATAACTAACTGCCAAGACTTCAGTTTACAGTAGCTTAAGGTGATACAATGTGATACAAGTTATACATTAACTATCTGCACTCAAAAAAGCATTTGAGAGCTCATAGGACACTTTTTTCCTTGGTGGTGGTGGTGTGTCATTCTGTTAGAGCAGGGGTCCCCAACCTCCAGGCCACGGACCAGACCAGCCCCTCCCCGTTAGGAACCCAGCTTCACAGAAGGAGGTGAGCTTGAATGTAATGCAAACTTAAATCATCCCGAAACCATCTGCCCCCTGCCCCTGTCCTTGGAAGATTTGTCTTCCACGAAACTGACCCTTGGTGCCAAAAATGTTGGGGACCACTGCATGGAGCAATGGACAGTTTTCGTCCACACACCAGTGGATTCACAGAAAAAGTTAAGACAGCTTGAAAATACCACATTCTATACAAAATCATGTTAAGTCCTAGAATGCAAAGTCACTTTTCAAATTTTTTAAAGAAGAATGTAACTATGAGCTCTAACACTTAAAGAAGGCTGGATACACAGATACGGTTTTTGATACACAGATATGTCTCTGAGCTCTACTATCAGAATTCAGAAATAAAATAATTTCATCTAATTTCTGAATAAATCCATAGCTACCTACTATTTGCTATCCAAAACTTAAGAATTACTTAGATTCTGAATCCCTTACTATCCAAACATAGGACCCAAACAGTCAATCAGTGAAGGTTTCTTAAATACAAACAGAAACTTACAAAACAAATTTAGGCATGTGCAAGTGGTTTAAAAAATATTGCCATGAGATTTCCTTAAACAAAATATTCTATTAGGATATAAAAGCACAACTTACACTCTCATTTTCCAAACAAATTTGTGGTATAAAACAAGACAGCGTATGCTGTAATTTTTCAGAATCCTTATATACGAGAGCCCCCTTGGATATCAGTCCAGAGGGTGACAAAACAAGGAAAATCATGGTGGTAGAAGAACAACAAGCAGAGTGAAAAAACCTGAGCATGCACACAGTTCTTAGCATCTGATGACAACTGCATCCACTGTTTTATTATCTTTACCTATAGCCCTCCTTGTTGGGTGTTCCAGAGACTCAGATACTCCAACACCAACTCTACCCCAAAAGCCAATAATTTTTAACTAAGCTAGGTAGGACCTATTTCATTGAATTCAAGATGCCACTGTTTATAAGGCACATCATCATTTGTGTATCAATAAGATAAAGTGCTAATTAATCTAGGAGGAACCATTAACTATTAGATATCCTGATATCTAATCAGTAATGTTGAAATGAACTCATGAACTACAGTAAAACCCACGGTGTCCATATGCCACCAACGATGATAGACATTTCAGACAGCTTGGTTGTTGAAGCCCCACCTGACCAAGTCTTCCCATTTTCCAAGAGAATTTCCGAGCGCACTGCTCTCCATACAAAGGTAATGTGACTTAGCTGAGAGCCACAATGATTAACATTTGAGATATTTAAACCTTATTTTCATCTTCTCCATTAATAATATTAGCTCAGAAGTCTATCTAGAGCAACTAGAATTTTAATTTACTGTCTTTTCTAATGGGAGAAAAATTAACACAAAATATATACACTCCATTTATCTTCACTTTGCCCTAAAGAGGAAAAAAAAAAACTGGAAACCAATAAGATGTACTGTTTGCCGAAATTCAGACTGTCAGGAACTCTAACAGAATCTAATGTGAATGTTCTTGTCATTTACTAGCTCCAAACATGTACCCATAGAAGCCTTCTCCTAATGCCAGTCACTTGCGTGTCTGGATTCCCATTAAACATTTTCATGGTTCCCTATGTGCTTCCCCTTCTCAGTAATTAGTAGGTATACTGAATGAACAAACAAATGAAAGAATTAAAGAACATACCATTCCATGCTAGACCAAGCGATAAATTTAAGATCTAGAATGATTCCCAAACTATAGAGCACCATCTTCCAAGTGTCATTGTCTCACAGGTCACTCATGCCCTTCTCTTGCAAGTAAATTCCATTACATATGTATGTACACTTACACATTAGAAGGTTTGTACATTTTTCCATTAAAAAACTCCGAAGAAGACAGGGAAAGCCTGGTTCCCCCTACACAAAACAGTGCCTTATTTTGCTGTGTATAATGCGCATCCACGTTTTTATGCACATTATACACGGTATTATTATATACATGTATAATGCACACCTTTCTTTTTCTCTCAAAACTTTGGGCAAAAATGCACATGATATACAACAAAATAGAGTAAACAGTTTGTTCTGTAAATACTCTTAGGACATCTTCCAACAGGATCAAATTTAAATTAGTACATCACTTTGTTTAACAAAACAGTTACAGAAATTTAAATCAACCAACCTCCAGCAGCAGCAAGCACAATCCTTGGCCCCTTATAATGTGTGGTTATATAATCTACTAAATCTCTACGATTTATAGATCTGTACATGGAAAAAGAAAAGCAGTATTAAAAGGAAGTTAAAAAGCACAGATCTTCATATAATATACCTGAAATTAAATTAGACCTTAAAGGAAATCTAAATTAAATTGTCAGAAAAACAATATTGGCAACAAGTATCAAAGAATTTCAACCTTTTCACATCACAAAAAGAGATATGATACCATCACTGTTTATTCCAGAATTAATTAGGAGCCCAGACACCTGGGAGTTAGGTAGGGCTAAAGTATAGCTAAGAACAATTTCATTCAGATTACCGAGGCAGGTGGGGTTGGGGGGAGGAATTATTTTTTGAAACACACTTGTTGAATGTTTATGAATGCCAATTTTCACAACTCATACATTTTTCTCAAAAATAAATTTGAGAATTATACCTACTTGATATTTTCAGTTGGTCCCAAAATTGTCCGTCCAAGTGCAGTATTTTGATAAGCTGTGGCATGAAGATAATCAAAAACAACTTCTTGTAAATTGGTTTCAACTTCCTGCATCTCTCTAAGGATTACTCCACGTTCACGTTCAATCTCTGCTTCTCCCAATGTGCTATTTTGTATTATATCAGCAAGAATTTCTACAGCTAATTGAAAATAAAACATAAGAAACACCAAGAATCTTAATTTTCACTATTCAAATCAAGTAAACTAGCATCAGAAACCATGATCCTGACCATCACTCAATACTAATTAAACTGGGAAGAAACATTCTTCTATACATTTTATACATGTAAAAGGGCAATAATATTTGAAAAATGTGAAATAAAAACCCCTGTGGTACACAAGAGCTTGAAGAAAATTCCTAAATCTGCCAAAGGTCCCACAACACTTAATAACTCTACCTACAAGCACTTCAAAAGCACCATGGACATCTGCGTATGTGTAAACTGTATGAAAAATACAAAGCAGAAAATTAACCATATTAGAATATCTAAGTGTATACAGAGTTCATATCACTTAAGTATTTACTATCCAAGTTCCCACAGCAATGAGGCTGCTACCTAAACAAGCCAAGAATCATCATACTCTATGCCTCCAATGAACAACTTACAGAATTAAGTGTCCACAAATATCCTTCCCCACGTAACTTAATCCCCATGTCTATTCCCATTCTTGCCATTACCAAAGTCACTGATAAAATGATGATCTAACAGGGCTAGAGGAGTTAACATATGAAGAAAAGGATAGGTACCCCAAGAGATACGGATGACTAAAGGGTTAAAAGTGACCCTTGGGAAAGACTGATGAAATCCTCAAATATCTGTACAAAAATGACCCTAATTTGCAAAAAGCCAAAAATAAACTGAGGGATACAGTATCATGCTATTAAGCAATTTTATCAGAAAAATTACATACCTCTTCAAAAAAGAAAACCTGATCTATTCTTGAAGAATTAGTATTATCTATAGCTGCAATCACAATCTAAATTTTAATAAATATAAACCAAATTTATAATCCTTGGCTTCATTTTCTTTATTATATACTTTTGTTAAGTTCACTTCAAGAGACTTTGTCTCAGATGCAATTATGTTCAAATACTGAGCACCTCTTGTAATTAATTACCTCTGTAGACTGCCCTAAATGACAAAACATACTGCTAAAGTAAGGTGGGGCTGAGATCATGACCAAAGGGAAAAAATTACCTGTAAAACAAAATAAAACCCATCCGTCTATCCAGACAAGAAAACCAGAGGCCATGATGGGTGAAGAAGAACCTAAAGTCAAATGCGAGGACAGCTTATGGCCCCTTTTTGCTTTCCCTCCTGTTCTTTGTGGGGAAAAAAAAAAAAAAGAAGAAAAGGGGGGAAAAAAAAACCCAAACCCTTTAAAGTACCTTAGTCTAACCCCTTTGTTCTTAGCCTCTAATCAATCAGTCCTGAAGCAAAAACTGTTTCTAAAGAAATCATTAAAAACCTTACAGATGATTTGTACAATTCAAGCACACAACACCATCCACTTCTGTCAGTTTTACTGGTTTTGGTATAGAAGTTAGGCTACCATGCAGGTATCTGCAGGTGGTAGGTTTTTTGTTGTGTTGTGTTTTTTTTGTTTTGACAAAGCAACCTGGCACAGTGAATCTGTGTGAGAAGACATACATTTGAGTCCACAGGGAGCCACTTACTAGCTGAATATTCCTGAGCAAGTTAGAGTCTGGACCTCAGTTTCCACAACTGAAAAGTGGAGACACCTACTTCATCCATTGTTTTCAAACATGGGATTACTATGCAGATCAAGTACGATAGTATGTACACAAAATATAATATATACAAAGTACTTGGCCCTGACCAGTGTGGCTCAGTTGGTTGGTCATCATCCTGCAAAGCAAAAGGTCACCAGATCAATTCCCCATCAGGGCACATGCCTGGGCTGCAGGTTCAGTCCCTGTTCCAGGTGCATACAAGAGGCAACCCTTCAATGTCTCTCTCTCACATCCATGTTTCTCTTTCTTTCTCCCTCCCTTCCCCTCTCTCTAAAAAGAAATAAAATGTTAAAAAAAAAGTACTTGTGTTGGGTCTCATTCAAACATTATTAATAAAAAAGCCTATTAGAAATACAAAATCCCAAAGTAATGAAACTAACTACAACTATACAAAGACCATAAAGAATATTAATTTCACCAATTAGCATTAAAACCACTAAATTTTGTTATTAATTATACCACTGGGAAAATGTTTTATGTAATAACTTTCCTTTAAAAAATGCAAAAACTCTAGCAACATGATAACTAGAACAAACTGGTATGCTATGCTGTCAGAATAATTTCTACAAAATAAAAATAAAATATATTTTAAGTTATAAAAATAAATAATCTTGTAAGTGAACAACTGCTTATTTTGCTCTTGACCAAGAGGTTTAGTAGCAAGCAAGAAATAAAAACAATGTTCCTACCCAGAACAAGAAATAAAAGGCATCCAAATTAGAAAGGAGTGGCAAAAGGGTCACTATGTAGAGATGACATGATATTTTATATGGAAAACCTTAAAGACTCCATCAAAAAACTGTTAGAACTAATAAATTCAGTAAATTTGCAGGATACAAAATCAATACTCAAAAAATATGGTGTATTTCTATAATATACTATCAGAAAGAGAAATTAAGAAAATCCCATGTACAACTACATCAAAAAGTATTAAATACCTAGGAATAACTTTAAGGAAGTGAAAGACATGTAAGTCTAAAAACAGTAAGAAACGGATGAAAGAAAACTGAAGACACAAATACATAAAAAGATATTCTGATTGAACTAGAAGGATTCTTAAAATGTCCATACTACCCAAAGCAATAAACACATTCAGTGCAATCCCTTTCAAAATTCCAAAGGCACTTTTCAGATATAGAACAATCAATCCTAAAATCTGTATTGAACCACAAAAGGCCACAAAAAGCCAAAGCAATCTCGAGAAAGAAAAAAAGAACTGAATGCACCACGCTTCCCAACTTCAAACTATATTACAAAGCTACAGTAATTAAAAGTTTGGTACTGGCATAAAAACAGACACACAGATCAATGGAACAAAACAGAGGACCCAGAAATAAACCCACATTTATACAGTCAATTAATCTAAGACAATGAAGCCAAGGGGGAAATGCCAGTCTCTTTTAAATGGTGTTAGGAAAATTGGGCATATACATACCAAAGAATGAAACTGGACCACTCTTACACCAAACACAAAAATCAATCCAAAATGGATTAAAGACTTAAACATAAGACCCAAAACTGATCCTGGCTGGATAGCTCAGTAGGTTAGTGTCATCCCCATACACCAAGGTTCAGGTTTAATCCCAGCTAAGGGCACATACAAGAAACAACCAATGAATGCCTAAGTAAGTGGGACAACAAATCAATGTTTTGCTCTCACTTTCCCTTCCTCTTTCTCTCTCAAATCAATTTAAAAAAAAAAAAAGACATGAAACTCCTAGAGGAAAACACTGGCAGTAAACTAGGACCTTGACCTTAACACAGGTCCTAGTGATGATTTTCTTAATCTGACACCACCAGCAACAAAACCAAAAACAGACAAGGGAACTACCTCAAACTAAAAAGCATCTGCACAACAAAAGAAACAAAGAAAAGGCAGCCTATTAAATGAGAGAAAATATCTGTGAATCATATCTGATAAGGGGCTAACATCCAAAAACTATTATAAAGAACTCAAAACTCAAAAGCAGAAAAATAATCTAAATCAAAAACTGGACCAAAGATCTGAATATACATTTTTCCAAAGAAGACATACAGATGGCCAAAGGGTACATGAAAAGATACTCAACATCACTACGGTCAGGGAAATGCAAATCAACACCATAATGATACCACCTCATACCTGTTAGAATAGTTACCATCAAAAAGACTATAGATGGCCCTGGCTGTTGGGAACCACCCTGCCTGGTTTCAGGAGCTGTAACCCCCCCCCCATGGCTAAGGCTGAGTGAGAGACCTCCGGCCCAGAAGCCACTAAGGAGACAAGCTTACCTCCCTGGCAGGAGTGCTGCTTCTGCTCCTTGCCTGGCCCCCATTGCTTGGTCGGTTAGCCAATGACAGGTAAGATCCCTCATGGGAGGGGCCACCTAAAACAGGCATGATCATGTGGGAAGGCCCTCAGGGAAAGACTTGGGGGGCTGTGGAAAAACGGGGTGATCGACCCTCACCCATCAGCTTTGACACTGCCTGAGTCATTATGCCTGCGAGAAGTCTCCAGTCTCTCGGCTGCCTTGTCTTCTCTGCCTGACTCAAGCCTGTAACAATGACAAGGGGTGGTGCAACCCTGTGCTGGAAATGGCAGGATTCCCAGGGTAATTAGGCCTGAGGAAGGATATGTAAAATCCTGTGAAACCTGCTTTGCTGAGGATGCTCTAAACTAGATTATAAAGGCCCAGGCAGAAAATTAGTTTAGTCCCTTAAGTTTTGTAACCTTTTAGGTGACAGACCCTGACTCAGTGTGAGCCCTTTTAGTTCTTGGAACATTATCTATTCATTTCATCCTAACTGCCAGGCAATGATTAATAAGCTGTATCTGTATTCCTACCCAAAAAACCTAATAAAAGTCTGTTCTGGCAGGGCGGCGAGGCGCTCTCCTCTTGAGAGAGTAGCCAGGCCGCTCCAAGGCGCTCTCCCCTTGAGAGGGTAGCCATGCCGCCCCTTTCCCTCCACAGGACTCAGTAGTCCGTGTGAATTTCTCGTGTCTTGTCCATCCACAGTGCGGCAGATACTGCTGGCCGGTATCTGCGGCACCTGGCTGTGTGGTCAGTGGATTGAGTGTCGGCCTGTGAATCAAAGGGTCGCCAGTTTGATTCACAGGGCACTTGCCTAGATTGCAGGCCAGGTCCCCAGTAGAGGGCACATGAGAGGCAATCACACACTGATGTTTCCCTCTCTTTCTCCCTTCCTTCCTGTCTCTCTAAACATAAATAAATATAAAATTAAAAAGACTACTGATGGTGAGAATATAGAGAGAGAAAAAAGAACCCCTGTACACTGTTGGTGGGAATGTAAATTGGTGCAGCCACTGTGCAAAACAATATGACAATTCCTCATAATATTAAAAATAGAACTATCATATATCTAGCAATTTTACTTCTGGGTATTCATACGAAGAAAATGAAAACACTAACTCATAAAGATATCTGCACCCTCATGTGCACTGCTGCATTACTTATATCGCCAGGATATGGGAATAACCTAAGTGTCAAAGAATGAATGAATTATTCAACCATAAAAAAGAAGAAAATCTTGCATTTACAATGACATGGATGAACCTCGAGGGCATTATTCTAAGTGAAATAAATCACAGAAAGACAAATACCATATGATCTCACTTACATGCAGAATCCAAAAACAAGCAAACAAAAAACCCAAGCTCATGGATACAGAGAACAGGCTGGTGGTTGCCAGAGGTGGGGGTGGGAGATATTGGTGAACTGTTTTGTTTTGTTTTTAATTTAAATAAAATGAGTAAAGAAACAAATTAATGGAAAGGAAGGTGAGAAAGAAGCACACTCCAGGATGAGGATCTAGAACAGGAGCGTCAAAGTCATTTTCACCGGGGTCCACAGCCTCACAATTGCCTTCAAAGGGCTGAATGTAATTTTAGGACTGTATAAGTGTAACTACTCCTTAACAGTTAAGTGAGAGCTCAGCGCTGCTGCCAGGTAGAAATAAAACAAGGTGGAGGATCGGATTTGGTCCACGGGCCTTGTGTTTACCACCTGTGATCTAGAATGTACAAATGCAATAAAATAGTAAGCAAAATTTGGTCAAAAAACAAAGCCCAGCACTCAGCTGATATAAAACCTGTTGAGGTTTATAGAAATAAAAATTCAAATAACAGGGTAAAATGGGGGAGGGAAGAAGAGTAGGCCGTAATAAATAAATAAATAAATAAATACAATTTTAAATGTTTTAGCTCTGGCCAGATAGCTCAGTTTGTTACTGCATCATCCTTGCCAAAGCTGCTGGTTCAATCCCCAGTCAGCACACATATTGTACAAAAATCGATGAATGCGTAAATAGATGCAACAAATCATTTTTCTCTCTCTCTCTCTCTCTTCTTTCCTCCCTCTCTCTAAAATCAATTTTTACAAAATGCTAAATGTTTCACTGCACAGGTATGGCTCTGAAGTATTTTTGTATCAAGCATTAGGGCCTGATTGGCACAAGTTTTGCAGTCTCTAAATATTTCATATGATTTGCCAATTAGGAGGAAAAAAAATTTTTTTTCAGCCCTGGTTTGTGTGGCTCAGTGGACTGAGTGCTGACCTGCAAACCAAAGTGTCCCTGATTCAATTCCCAGTCAGGGCACATGCCTGGGTTGCAACCAAGTTGCTCCCCCAGTAGGGGGCATGCAAGAGGCAGCCACGCATTGATGTTTCCCTTCTTCTCTCTTCCTTCCCCGCTCTCTAAAAATAAATAAAATGTTAAAAAAAAATTTTCACATCTCTGGGGGCTACCCTTTCATAACAAACATAATAAAAACAATACTAAATTACGTGTTAACTCTTGTGAAAGTTACACATCTGCAGTATAAATAACAATACCTCTTGGCAAATCTTTAGAAAATGCTTTGGCATAATATACAGTCTGCTCTCTGGAGGTATAAGCATTGAGATGAGCACCCATGTTTTCAATTTCAAGTTCCAAATCTAACTGAGATCTCTTTTTGGTGCCCTGAAAAAGACAGGAAAAAAGATTATAATACCTACCTTTATCCCTCATCTGTTCTAAACACTTTAAACAATGAATATGAGGACATAAGACTATGCCTGTTTCACACAAGGACCAAATTTGGTTTCTAAAGTATATAAAGCTTCAGACATTATGGTATACATGTATTTTTGGGCGATCCTTATGTCCCAAGAGAAAATCTTCATTTCACCTCTACAGAGCAATTATAAGCACTACTTCAGATAGTTATTCTGGAAAAAAAAGATTTTAAAAATAATAAAAATAACATGCTATCTTCAACAGTTTGATGTGCTTCTTCTTGCCTTAGAATGAGATTTTGTGCTATCTCTTAAAAAAATGCATTTTTATGAAATAAGTCTGACAACTTGCCTTGAAAGCCATATGCTCCAAAAAGTGAGCTGTTCCATTATTCTTCTCATTTTCATATCGACTTCCAGCATCAATCCAGAGTCCAACCTTAATGCAATGATGGAACAATTAGTAAAGCACCACTTTCTTTCTTTTGAGGAAATGATGGTGGGGTGGGGGAAGGCTCCTCCTTCTTTCTGACAAATGCTTTCTAGTCTTGACACTAAAGTTTTCTCGACTTGGATTCATAGTATATTCCTATGAACTATGAATTTTTAAAATGCTGGTCATCCAGACTCTGTTGTATGTTTACCTGAGGACCCAGATTCTTAAGTCCAACTTGTACTACAGCCATTAACTATAGTATAAAGAACATCAGAGATCATCAAATATAGGTTCAAGTCCTGGCTCTGTCACATATTAGCTGTGTGACCAAGGACAAAACCATTTAACTTCTCTGAACTTGTTCCTCAACCATAAAAAGGGTATAATGATGCCTAATACAAAGAACTGTTTTAAAGATCAAATAAGTATGTAAAAACAGTTGGCACAGAGTTGCCTAACAAATATAATTCTTTCATTACTATCAACATTACCAACAATAAATAATACAATAATAGGCTATAAGAACCAGATGTAGACACTTAAAACAGGGTACATGTGCATCCACTGTACAAGTACCACTGGAAGAAAGATATTCACAAGCTAGAGTCCCCTGTCAAGGCAAAATAACTGCCACTATTTTTCAACCACCAGCCAACTAGAAAACTTAGATTAAAACCAACAATTTGCTCTCTCCTCATGAGAAGTCACTCAAACAGTGGTTGCTTGAATCACTTACTGTGCATGTTGAGAGCCCAGAATCTTCAGAGGCCACCCTGAGACCATTCTCCAAACGTGTTACTCGTGTTTCAGGAACATTCAGAACAACTTGTGTAGCAGCCTGTGTACTTCTCAATCTGTTCCCTCCAAAATATAAGGACTGGTTGGAGGTGGAGGGGTGGGAGAGAGGAACCAAACACATCAGTATTCTGATTGTCAACATCGATGAAAAAACCACATCTATCTCAAAAAAACTCTTTCTACAAAGTACTCTTCCCTCCTTAACTGGTAACCTACCTTCCTTTACCATCCCTCTCTTAAAGCTAGACATACCTACAAATAAAACTGCTTTTATTTCAGCACCTCTCCTAGAAACGTTTAATATTCATTAAAGAGGGAACGAGCAGGAGGTAAAATGCCAAGAAAAGGAGAGAAAATGTAAAAATACCTATACACAACGTAGAAATGAGATTTAGGCTTTCACTGTTAGAAAAAAAGCAAAAAGTTGTGAAAAAGGTAGAAAAGAAGTCAGAAAGAAGGGTAGGTGCTCAAGATACACACTGGCTGACAGATTTGTTGACTATGGACTATTCGTCTGTCGGCAGTTTTTCTCTTTCTTTATACAAATGTTAAAGTCCCACATACCTTGGCGAAAGTTAAGAGGCTCCCATGAGAAAAATGTATATACAGCCAAAATTTTCCTTTAGCTACCCCGGGACTCGCAGAGCGCCCGCTAAGGATGAAGTTTAAGTCTTAGGCAAAAAGAGAACTTGGGGGACAGAAACGAACTCACTTATTAATTTCCCCCAATTTGCAACCACTGTGTTTTCAGTAATCAACATTCACTCTTTATAATGACTCCTCAATAAGTGGGGGTGGAGGGACCGGTAATCAGGGTCATCCCAGAAGTCACTGGCAGGTCACGCGAGGCGGCGGAAGTCCCGCAGAAGTAAAGGGCCCCAGGGCTCCTCTTTGAGGAAGCCGGGCACCACCAGCCGCTGTAGGGTGTGCGGCGCGCGGGAGCCGGCGGCCAGGAAGGGCGCCCGTGACTCAAGTAAGCCGCCTGGGGCCCGACGGAACAGGCCGGGCCCGGTCCGGAGAGCACCCAGACAAGTGGAAGACAACTCACCCGTCCAGCAGCACCTCTGACTAAAAGTCTCTCGGAGAAACCCCAGAGCCGCAGCCGCGCCGCGGATAGCAACGTCACTCGCGATGCTGCCGCTGCGGCCATTTCTGCCGCGCCCTAGTGGAGGACGTACTTCCGAGGTCGTGACCTCCGGGGGTGGTCCCAGAGGAGAAAGAGGACACCACCTTGTGGCCATGATGGGAATGACACTACTCGAAGCTGCCGAGGAAGGAATCGACCTCGGCCTGGTGATGAGCTGTCTATTCCAAATAATAAAAATCAGGAAGTCTGTAGAAGACCCTGTATCATCAGTTACTTTGATCGCGTACGGTGTACAAGGCCCAAATGTGGGAAGTTAAAGATAACCTGGTGCAATATATCATCCCATTGGTGGTTGAAATTGATTGGAAAAAGTGTGGTAAAATCCGTAACTGACTGTCCTTAAAGAAAGTATCTAATGGGAGAGCGCATAGTGAGGGGAGGGAATTGGGGAGTCAGTTATCAGTGTCAGGCCCTAATTACTCTTCAACCCTTACTGTCTGGCTCATTTCATTCCGTACAAATTGCGCTTGGTCAGGCCACTAATTGTTGAAAGATGGGCTCTTTATCTTTACCTTATGAGAAGGAACTTATCTTAGTCCTTTTGGCTGAATGTGACGTGATAGATCTCTTTGAACTTTTCTCATTGTATCTGAGAGTTCCTCCTCCTCCTTTTTCACCTTCTTGGGCAGCTCTTTATTCACAGAACTCTTTTTTAAAAGAATTTATTTATTTATTTATTTATTTATTTATTTATTTATTTATAGAGAGGAGGAGGGAGAAAGGGAGCAAAACATCAATGTGTGGTTGCCTCTCACGCACCCCCTACTGAGGACCTAGCCCACAACCCAGGCACGCATCCTGACTGGGAATCCAATCTCCAACTCTTGGGGTCTCAGTCCATCCATCCGTCCACTGAGCCATACCAGCCAGGGCTATTCTCAGGTCTTTTAAGGAAACTAAAAGTAGCAAGCACTGGTCTAACTGTGCTATTGTTATGCTCATTTTACAGATGTGGAAACTAGGTAAAATAACTGGCTAATGAAGACTATCTAGCTCCGAAGCCTATGCTCTTAAACACCATGCTAATCTACCCTCAAAGCTGGTATCCCCCAGGTTCTGGACCTGGGCCTCTTCTACTGATGGTTTCCATTTCCACCTGTCTACAGAACCAACCCTTTCTGTTGGGATCCATGCCCACTTAACTATTCAATTGCTACACAACCCCATTCAAGTATCCCATTGGCACCTCATTATCAATTAGTCCAAAATGCAATTCACTGTCTTGCCCCTAAGTCTCTTTCTGTAATATCCAATGCAAAACAGACCATGATACCTCCATTCACCCAAACATTCCAACCAGATTGGGGAAAATGGGAGGGTTAAAGCTTGGCAGCTACCAGATATGGGGTTTCTTCTTTCAGGTGATTTTAATGTTCTGAAATTAGTCATGATAGTGACACAACTTTATGAATGTAATGAAAGCTATCAAACAGTTTATTTTAAGTGAGTGAATTATATGGTATGTGAATTATATCTCAATAAACAGCTATCACTGTTACCAAACATTGGATAAATGATTTTAATAGATATGCCTCTAAAAATATATTGAAATTGCCAATTAAAACATGAAAAGATGCTCAACATCATTAGCCATCAGGAAAATGCAATTCAAAGCTAAGGCTAAGGTACTATTCACACACTAAGATCATATAGTGTAATGAGAAAGATAGATAATAACAAGTGTTGATGAGAATGTGGAGCAATTTCAACCCTCAACATTGCTAGTGGGAATATAAGTGGTGTACCTGCTGCAGGACACAGTTTGGCAGCTCCTTACCATTTGACTCAGTAATTCCACTCCTAGGTATATACTGAGGAATTGAAACATATGTCTACACAAAAATTATATACAAATGTTTATAATAGCATTATTTACAATAGCCTAAAGGTGAAAATAACCCAAATCAGTTCATTAACTGTTGAATGAATAAACAAAATGTGGCATATCTGTACAATGGACTATTATTCAACAACAAAAAGGAATGAAGTATTGATACATGTTACAATATGGATGAAATTTGAAAATATAATGCTATGAGAAAAGCCAATCACAAAAGGCCACATACTATGTTCCATTTATATGAAATGTCCAGAATAGGAAATCCATAGAGACAGTAGAGGAGTGATTGCTGGGGGCTGAGGGCAGGTACAAGTGGGGAATGATTGCTAATGGGCATGGAGTGTCTTTAGGGGTAATGAAAATTTCCTGAAGTTAAATAGTGGTAGTGGTTGTATAACCACTGAATATTACATGTTAAAAGGGTAAATAGTGGTAGTGGTTGTATAACCACTGAATATTACATGTTAAAAAGGAAAAAATATAAATTATATTTCAATTTTTTAAAAATGCTCCAAATCCCACCATCTAAAACTTACTACCATTATCATGAGGGTCATGAGGGTTATACAGAAAGGTTGACTGGATGGGTGAATAAATGAATGGATGGCTAGCTAGATTAATTGAATACCCAGTCAATACTCTTTTTAAAAAATGGGATAATACAATAGATGTTATGTTTATTAAAGGGTATCTGGATATCTTCCTTTTGTCCCCATGTTGCAGAATCACCTCCCAAAATTCAGGTTGGTGTACACAATGTGCTAGTAAGCCCAAAAACTAGGACAGCAGTGCTGGGAGACAGGGAAAGTCTTACTGAATTAGGCTGAGGTGAGAGGACAGGGGAGCTGGATCTCTCAAAAAGCAAAAGTAAAGAGTTGTTATTCAGCTATGGAATAGGGGAGGAGGAGTTCCATGGAAGTGAGAGAATAGTCTGTGTTTCTTTAGTCACAGATAACACTTTTTTATATCAGACTCCTGGGAGTGAACTGCTGGTCGCAACAACCTTGGAGGCATTCTTTCTGTAAAACAAACTCATAAATTCCTTGTGACCCTGAAGTTATCTTATCCTGCTTGACAAAGAGACACCACAGCAGCAACTTATGACTACATTCATAAGAACTAAAAGAATTGAGCAGGAAAAGTGGATAACAAGTGAACAAAGTCCCAATTGAAAGCAAAATCATTTCCTTGGCTGGTGTGGTTCACTTGGCTGGATATCAGTCCCACAAAGCAAAGGGTCACAGGTTCAGTTCCTGGTAAGGGTCTGGGTAGCAGACTAGGTCCGCCATTGTGGTGCATCAAAGTGGCAGCCCATCAGTGTTTCTCTCCCTCTTTTTCTCCCTCCCTTCTTCTCTCTAAAAATAAATAGTCTTTTTTAAGATTTAAATTATTTAATTCTAGCTGACAAAAATACTAGTGGTATTAAATTCATAGGGGGCTCAGCCATACCTACTCCTCACCCTTTACCATTTTGTTCTGTGCTTTAGGACACTGACCTGCAGAGATTGCTTGATTCATTATCTTTCTGGTTGGATTTAGCCAGTAAGTCACCACAGGACACAGAAACTTGTAGAAGTGAGAGGGGTATACCTTTACCCCTCAGCTTTCTCCCTAGGGGCTGATGCATTTCTCTGCAACAGGCCCAGCCTTCTTCATATAGCTATCCCCTCCGAATTCTAATGGACTTTCCTTTCTCTTCTACCCGTGAGACTAAGTGGATATAGGATTCTGCTATGGCTAGTTCTGGAATACTGCAATCCCCCTTCTTAGTTTCCCCAAACCCTGCCCCTACATTTATAAATAGTCCCTTTATTAAATCCTCTTCAAATTATTCCATTTTAATATGTGAGGAATTAGACTACTACAAAGCTTTAAATTTGTGTTAGGCAGTATTAGTATATATCAGTAGTACATTTAATATTTATTAAACTGTATTAAGATTCAAAGTGATTCAATAGTATTATCAGTAACTATTTATTTTATATATATATTTTATGTAATCTTTATTATATTTTTTCATTACCATGTAGTCCCTTTATATTCACTCCTCACAGCAATCACCACACTGTTGTCCATGTTAATGAGCCCTTTTTTCCTTTCTGCTCAATACCTCCACCCTCTAAACTCCCTCTACTCCACCCACTAGCTGTCATCTGCTCTCCACCTAAGAATCTGTGTCATTTTAGCTTGTTAAGTTTGTTCGTTAGATTCCACATATGAATAAAATTATATCATATTTGTCTTTCTCTGACTGGCTTATTTCACTTAGCATAATGTTCTCCAGGTCCAACCACACTGTTACAAAGGGTAGAATTTTCTTCTTTTTAACAGCTGAATAGGATTGCATTGAATAAATATCCCATAGTTGTTCTATCTACTAATCTATTGATGGACATGGGCTGCTTCCATATCTTGGCATACCTGCCACCCCACAGAATGTGGGACCGCCTAGTCCACCAGCTGCTGCCTCACCCGCCTGGTCCACCACCTTGCTGCATATCCTCCCCACCCTGACTGCCCAGCTGCCCATCTCTGCCCTTCCTACTTGTCTGGATGAATGGTTCTTCTTTAACTCCTTGGTTGTCAGACTCCCATACCGTTCGATTTTCTGGCAGTTCTGGTTATTTTTTGTTTTTAAATTGATTGTTGCCCTTTTTTTGGTTATGCAAGGAAGCAAAGCGTAGCTACCTATGCCTCAAGCTTGGCCAGAAGAGGCTCCATTTGTTTCTTTTTTTTGTTTCCCTTGCCTGCAGAGATATATCCAATAAAATATTGCTATGGACAATGTCTGAGATTTTGCTGCCTGTATTTTCTTCTGGGATTTTTATGGTTTCAGGTCTAACATAAGTCTTTGACCCATTTTGAATTTGTTCTTGCATGTGGTATAAGAAGGTGGTCTAGTTTAATTTTTCTGCACATATCTGTCCAATTTTCCTGACACCATTTATTGAATAAACTATCTTTAGCCCATTGTATGTACTTGCTTCCTCTGTCAGACATTGACTGTAAAGAGATGGGTTTATTTTAGAGCTCTCTGGTCTGTTCCATTGATCTATGTGTCTGTTTTTATGTCAGTACCATGCTGTTTTGATTACTATGACTTTGTATTATAGTTTGATGTTACATAGGGTGATTCCTCTAAGTCTGTTCTTCTTTCTCAGGATCACTGTTGCTATGAAGGGCTTTTTGTGGTTCCATATAAATTTTT